TTTTTTTTATATAGAGGAATGATTTTCTCTCCTAGATGTCCCATTTATGAGGAGGAGAAGTAGATTTTTCCCATTGTTCATCATTGTATCCTCGAGCTATTGAGACTTGGATAAGATGTGGGTGCAACGATATTCAAAGAGCATTCAACTATCTTAGATTTATTGATATGTCAAAACTCCTTCTCAATGTCATAACAAATTTTGAGACTTTTGATTAGTTTTTAGTTGAGTTTAAGAGGATTAAATTTAGTTCAGACTCACTTCACGTGCTTCAACTTGTCATTATGAGAAATACTTCTTACCATCTTTATGTTATCTGTTGGAAATCATTTGGAGTATATGAAGAAAGATTGCATACTTTTTAAGCTTCCATTTTGGAAGCAGCGGAAAATATAGACTTCTAATAGAATAATATAAATAGGTCTCACTAAAGTTGAACACGAAATAACGTAGTTAGCTATAAACTTGTATGAAGAAATAAAATGTCTAATAAGAAAGATGAACTTCTGATTAATAAACTCACTTTGTTAGACTCTATTTGTTTTTTATTGTGATATCTAAAAACTACAAAACTTCTGAACATTTTATAGTAACCTACATGCTAAAAGTTGAGTGAACAATACTTCAAACAATTATAAACCTCTCATGTACTCTCCTTACTATAATTACTCTTATTCTAGAGTAAATTTTCTTTGCATTATTCTGTGTACTTTCCATCTTTAGATTATTCCATATTTAGTAAACACCAAGATATTCCAAGTAAGTGGATGCTTGACTCAGGAGCCTCACACCATATGTGCCCAAATAGAAGGTGGTTTACTGCCTACCAAAGTGTAGATGGTGGAACTATTTTAAAGGGGAACAATCATGTCTGTAAAATTATGGGGTATGGTACAATACGAATTAAGATGCACGATGGAGCAATAAGGACTTTAAGGAACGTGAGACATGTCCCTAATTTGCGCAAAAACCTTATTTTCTTGGTCTATTAAAGGAAAATGGTTGCAAAATAATCTTGGAAAATGGAATCTTAAAGGTTGTTTGTAGTTTGTTGGTTGTGATGAAGGGGGTTCGTCACAGGAATATTTATCCTCTTATGGGGAAATTGTCACAGGTGATTTGACAGTTTGAATCAATAGAAGTAAATAACACACTAAATGTACAAGGATGTGGCACATGCCCCTTAAGCATATTCCTGAAAAAGGTCTATCATTGCTTGGTGAGAAAGATTTGCTGAAGAACATGAAAAAGCCATGCATGGAATTTTGTGAACAATTGAGTGTATGGAAAAGCACATAGGTTGCAGTTTTCTACAAGCAAGCATACAAGCAGAGGAATATTATACTACGTGCATACTGACGTTTGGGGTCCGGCTCCCGTTACTTCTAAGGGTGGTTCCAGGTACTTTGTTACATATGTTGATGATCATTCGAAGTATGCTTGGATTTATTTTCTTAAGCATAAGAATGAGGTATTTGATATTTTTAAGTGTTGGAAAGGAATGGTTGAGAACAGAACGAGTATAAAGCTAAAAAAACTATGATCAGATAATGGTACAGAGTATACAGATGGAGCTTTCAAGAGGTTTTGTGACAAGGAAGGCATTGTTAGACACTAGATGGTAAGAGGCACACCACAACAGAATGGAGTCGCGGAAACACTGAACCGTACACTCCTTGAGAAAGAAAGGTGTATGCACTCTAATTCTGGGTTAGGTCAAGAATTATGGGCAGAGTCAGTTACTACAACTTGTTATATAGTAAACAGATCTTCACATTCTAGTTTAGGTGGAGATACGCCTTGTAGGGTGTGGTTAGGTGAACAGGCAAAAGCTATCGTCTTTGGAGTGTAGAAGATTCTAAGTTTGTGATCAGTAGGGATGTTACATTTGATGAAAAATCTATAGTATTTTTCAAAAGCTATGAAACCTAATGATGCTGATCTGACCATATCAAATAAACAAGTTATTGAGATAGAATTTGGAGACCAACCAAATTCTTGTCATGGTCAGATGTAGAATCCTATCGCCGGTGAAGACAAGGAAGAGGACGAACGTGATAATGAGGAAGTTCAGCAAGAAAATACACATGTGTCACAACAGCAGCAACAACAAGAATCTTTGGATATCACTAGACCATAGAGGAAATATAAAGTTGTTTAGAAGTTAGGATCAGAAAAACCTTTGAAGCATTATGGGGAGGTAAACTTGGTGGAATATGCACTCACGGTTGAAGCTGATGAACATGTCACCTTCAAACAAGCTGTCAAAGACAAGGAAAGAGAGAATTGGTTGGTTGCTATGCAGGAAGAGATGTAATCTCTTCACAAGAACAAGACATGGGATGTGGTCCTATTGCATGTAGGAAAGTATGTTATTGGTTATAAATGGGTGTATAAAGAAAAGAATATCATACTAAGTCGTACGGTACAAGATATAAGGCTAGACTAGTGGCGAAAGGGTTTGCACAAAAGGAAGGAATTAATTACAATGAGATATTTTCTATGATGGTGAAACATACTTCTACCCATGTGCTATTAAGTTTAGTAGCTCATGGTGATCTTGAGCTGGAACAACTAGACGTGAAGACAACCTTCTTGCATGCAGATTTGGATGAGGAAATATATATGTATCAACCTGAGGGTTATAAGTTTGAGGATAAATGGAGTCAGGTATGTTGCTTGAGAAAATCACTTTATGGGTTGAAATAATCTTCTAGGCAGTGGTACAAGTGATTTGATTCTTTTATGATAAAACAAAGTTTGTATAGAAGTAGTTAGGACAATTGTATTTATATTTGAAGCTTCATGTAGGTGATTAAATCTATCTATTATTTTATGTTGATGACATGCTTATTGTTTCAAAAGGCAAGGTGGAGATATATAAACTGAAGTATAAACTTGGTAAAGAGTTTGAGACGAAGAATTTGGGCGCTGCAAAGAAAATACTGGGTATGGAGATTAGAAGAGAGCAGACAAATTGGAAACTGTTCTTGAGTCAAAAATACTATTTATAGCGGGTTGGTGAAAGGTTTGGAATGAAAGGTGTTAAGCCTGTGGTTACTCCATTAGCTCCACATTTTAGGTTTTTTAGTAATCAGTCTCCCACTACCGCAGAAGATAAGGCAAACATAAAAAATGTAGCATATGATAGTACAGTTGGCAATTTGATGCATGCTATGGTGTGCACGCGTCTGGATATTCACAAGCGATAACTGTTGTTAGTAGATTCATGAAGAATCCGGAAAAGACGCACTAGAAAGTAGTGAAATGGATTTTGAGGTACTTAAAAGGTACCATTAACATTGATTTTTGTTTTGGTGGAGATACATGTCAAATAAACGGGTTTGTTGATTCAGATTATGTTGGTGATCTAGATAGGCGGCAATCTACTACTAGTTAAGTGTTCAAAATACATGGTGCCCCAATAAGTTAATGATCTATATTATAGTCTATAGTGACACTAACTACTACGGATGTCGAATATATGGTCGTAGCAGAAGGAGTAAAGGAAGCATTGTGGCTGAGGGTTCTTCTAGGTGATTTGGGTGTTGAGCAAGAACGCATGAGACTGATGTGTTATAGACAAAGTGCAATTCATTTGGCTAAGAATCAAGTTCATCATGCTCGGACCAAGCATATAGATGTCAAATATCATTTTGTACAAAATGTTGTGGTCGAAGGTCATATTTCTCTTAAGAAAGTACATACTAATGAGAATCCAGCTGACATGTTAACCAAGGTTGTTATAGATAGTAAGTTCTGAAAGTACTTGTTAAACATATCCACATGTTAAGTCATGTGAAAGGATTAATTGAACTATGATTGGCTTGATCCCAATTCAAGGTACGCGGGCAACCATGTGGTATAACCGAATAAGAAGATGCAATTTGTTCATCCAAAATTTAAGGATTTCAAAAGTATGAACAAGGTGGAGAATTCACTAAATATTTAATAATTTAAAGACTAAAAGTGCAAAGAAAAGTTTACTCTGAAATAAGAGTAATAATCAAAAGGAGAGTATATGAGAGGTTTATAATTGTTTGAAGTATTGTTCACTCAATTTTCAGCATGTATGTTACTGTATAATATTTAGAAGTTTTGTAATTTAGATATCGGTGTAACAAAGTGAGTTTATTAATCAAAAGTTCATCTTTCTTAAACATTTTATTTCTTCCCACAAATTTATTATTCTAACTAAGTTGTTTTATGTTCAACTTTATTCTTAAACATTTTATTTCTTCCCACAAATTTATTGTTCTAACTAAGTTGTTTTATGTTCAACTTTATTGATGTCTATTTATATTATTCTATTAAAAATCTATACTTTCAACTGCTTCCAACAATATTTTTTTTCTCTAATGTCAATTGTTAAAAACAGTAGAAAATATAGATTTCTAATAAAATAATATAAATAGATCTCACTAAAGTTGAACATAAAATAACGTGATAAAACAATAGACTTGTATGAAAAAATAAAATGTATAAGAAAAAGATTGAACATAAAATAACGTGATAAAACAATAGACTTGTATGAAAAAATAAAATGTATAAGAAAAAAATTTATTTGTTTTTTTGTTATGATATCTAAACTACAAAAGTTCTAAACATTTTTCAACAGTGAACAATACTTCAAACAATTCTAAACCTTTCGTGTCCTCTCCTTCCTATTATTACTCTTTTTCCAGAATAAACTTTCATTTGCATTATTATTTGCACTTGTCATCTTTAGATTATTCCATATTTAGTAAACACTAAATATTTCACTTATTCTCACAAAAATAAAAATAAAAGAATAAATGGTAATATAGTGATCCCGAGTAACCGAAAATAGGGAGAATATTTGAAAGTTTTCAAGCAATAAATCAAATGTAATTCTTTGAAGGTTTAACCACAACACCAAACATGTTCATGAAAGAAAAGTAACCAACCAATGCATGACAATTAAATTTAATCACTCTGCAATAACCCTTTTTACATATCAAGTAAATATTACTTATGCTTCAAGTATCGTCCACTTGTGAATGGAATACAAAGCTTGGGAATGTTGTGGTGATGTCCCTGCTCAAAAACACATGAAAAAACATGTCAAAGAGTGCCATAAAAATAAAATGAAAATTAAGGTAAGATTATTCTCTAAACAGTCTTTAGTGATGATTTTAAATTTCTGTATTTTCAAACATCAACAATACTACTGTTAGATTCTGTCAAAATCTACGCCCAAAACCGAAATAACTTGCGCAGCACTCTCTTCATTCTAACAGTTTTCTGATTGGTATCAAGCTGTCTTCTCGGTGTCACCACTCATCGACATTCTAGATGTTGCTCTTGCATCGTCTAAACATAAGTTGATAATAAAATAACGTGACTTAAAATTTACCTTAGATATTGAAGGGTCATGTTCTTGAGAAGTGATGGATGGCGCAAAACAAGGTTTCTCCATTCTTCTTTATCAATCTTGCCGTCATGCTTTGTATCCGCTTCCTCAAAAGTCTGAAAAAATTCAAAAACTCAATGTTGAAACAAACTGTCTCTTTTTTTTTCTCCTTCTTATAAAGAATATAGAGTATTAAGGATACTCCAATCCACATGAAAACATTGATACTAATTAGTGACCATTCACATTAAAGGAAAAAAGGGGTAGCACCTTGTCGATTATACTCTCTATTACATCATCTGATAGGTTCATGCCAGATTCAGCAAGTGTAGCAACTACCATTTGCTTCACCTCTTGTCTTTCAATAAAACCCTGCTGCTTGAGATCATACAATTGAAAGGAAACTGAAACAAGATATTATATGGTTTTAGTTTTTGTATAACAAACAGTGAGGTGAAGTAAACTAAAGAATTGAAGTAACATACACTCAATCTTTTTATCAATAGGGGCATTTGGATGGAAAACGGAGAGAGCACGAGCAAACTCTTCAAAACCAAGTATCCCATTGTGCTTTGTATCAAACAAATCAAATACCTACCCAGAGATAAGCTCATATGAGATATTAACTTGAAGCAATTTACGATATTAGTATGAGATAAGACTTGGTTGTTGTTGTATACTAATGTGATCAGAGAAACGGATTTCATAGTCAAAGAAATGTCAAACACATATTAAAAGAAAAGATGGGAAAAGCATACCCGATCAGCAAACAAACTTTCTTTTTTATTCGTCTTGAATAATGCTAATTGAAACTCTTCCTGCAAATGGTGCAATATGCATATTAATACTAGTATTGTAAGAAAAATAGTGAAAATTGAATATAGGCATATAGCATCTCACATATTTTATAATGACATAGGATGTGAACAATAGAATTTATTACATTAGTATAGAATAATTAAACACACGTTTTTATTTTTGCATTGAAAAGGCTCAATCAATACAAAAAAAGTTATATGTCAAAACCACTAGTTGTATGGTGATAAAACGGACAAACCTTGTTGATCAGCCCATCATCAATCACAGCACTACTGATCTTTTTAAAGAGCTCGTAAAGTGCTTCAATTTCACTCACACTGACTGCGTACACAAGCAAAACAAATATCTATCATCATCTATATCATGTGTAGTTATTTCCAACAATATTGGTATTAATAGAATCCACAAATAAGATATTAGAAGCATATATTCAAATCAAAACTCATTTGTATAAGAACAGTAGTAACAATAAGTGCATCATAAGCATAAAGTTAGGTGGACACATACAAACTGTCTCCCTCGCAAGGATTTCAGGATCTTCAAGACCAGTTGTCTGCTTATATAAGTCAAGGTCACAACATCGCAATAGAGGAGCAAACAAATGCTTAAACCCCTCTATGCACTGCAACATGATATCTCTTGCAGCTCAAAATCAAACCACTCCATAGCTGTTACAAATACAAGTCAATTAGTTATTCAATTTAGTTAATTCCTCATTAAGTTATATTTAGCCGGCAATGAGCAACTAAACCTTTTAACCATTTCCAATATCAGCTGGCCAAGCCCAAATGCCAAGATCTACAAAATTTGGAGGCAACATAAGCAAAAAAGTCTAGTCAACGAATCGAAGTAAAACATCTATAACATTCTACGAAAGAAAGCAAAGTAACCAAAATGGAAACACAAAAGAATAACTCCCAAGCTGTAACTGATCAGAGTTGCTTTAAATTTTTTTGAAGCCTTGGGTAAGTTAGACGCAGTTTAACCATGACAAAACAATTATAGACCCTACTTAACCTCAGATTAACCCTGACAAACATTTTATGAAGCCCTATTTAGCTAACCATGACAAATTTTGGGTCCTGTACGGTGACAAATATTTTATGAAGCCCTATTTAGCTAACCATGACAAATTTTGGGCCCTGGCAATCCGCCTTGCACGCCCTCAAAGATGGCCATGTTGATCAAGGATAAGAACTTAACGGCAATTTACTTATTAGTTCAAACTAAAAACACTCCAAACTCAAAGACTACAAACTATGTCTTGCTTTCTTCCCATCAATGATTCCTATGTTTGACCAAATTCACAACAAAACTTAATACACCAAACAGATAACCCCGCTTTCTTACTCCTTGTATTGAAGTTGTTTAACCAATTAACTAATTGCAAATATAAAAAAATTGTAAAGATCAAAACAATTCCATTTCTCTCTAGCACCTAAGATCCATGGCCACACATGCAGCATCAAATAGATAACATACCATTACCAGAATCGCCTTAAGACAATTTCAAGATAAGAACTAAGAAATTCAATACCCTAAGACCCACAAAATCGAAATTTGAAAACATTGAAGGCAGTTAGATTCTGAATTCAAGGCAATTGACACACCCACAAGCCCGGGAATTTCACGGATCTATATGAAACCGGACATAAATCAACATGAAGAAACAAAAAAAAACACAAAATTTAATGAAAATTCAAGAACCCCAAATCAGAATTTGAGATAAAGATGCTATATTGAAAGATTTGTGAGCGAAAATGAAGTGGGTATGGTGAAAAATGTTACCTCGATGTTAGAGGAGCAGAGAAAAAAACAGAGAAATTGGAAGTTTAGGGGAATGGTGAAGAAGGGTTGTGTTTTGTGTTGTCTGAAAGTGGTTGAAAGGAATGAAATGTGTGTGAAGGTGGGGAACGAAAGTGATTTGAAGGATGATTGATGATCGATGTGATGAGAGATGGGGTACAATTCGGACGAAATCAATGCTCACACATAAAATATCAATATTACTATTTCTTTGACAATTATTCTTAACAAATTTTTTTTTTTTAATTTTTAATTTATTATATTTATATGAACTTTCAAAATTGAGTTTAATGAATTAAATTTTTTTGTTTGATGAAAAAAAAAAGGCGAGTTAGACTCAAAGAGCCTATACAAATTGAAGACACATTTGTAATAAGAAATAAATCCACTAATGAATTTGATTTGTAAGTATGTCTTCTTTACTAAATTTAATTTTTATTATATTAAATTCATCTCTAATTTAGATTGAGCTATAATGATAAAAGAAGTCTTTTCAATTCGAATGTGTTTGGTCTTATCATGGAGATATTGAACAAACAAGTGGACTACAACATATTTGACCTTAATAACATACATGATCTCAATAGTAATGAATTAAGATCAACTTTTATTTGAATGTATGAACGATAGAATTCGTATGGAGTTCTATGGGATTCTTCTTCCTTATATGTTATCAATTATCATCTTTTCATGAGTGTTTTTAATAAACAATTAATCATTTAGTTTTTAGTTAATTATTTGAAAGACCAAATTAGTAATACTTAGGTGTATTTACATAAAAGTAAAAATAGTACGCAATTACATTTTCTCTGGAAAACTTGTTTCTCTCTGATGTGTTGGTACTTTGAGTGTAATTGAAATTTACAATGTTTCTTGACACGCTTGATGCTAACACTAAAATTCTTATTTATAATGATATAACCTATTAGAATATTAATAGTAATTCATATTTATTTAGTTGTACTATTTTCTTAACCCCTAAGTTTGTTAGAGGGTATTTTATCTTATTCTAGTAACCCTAGTTTTAGCTTATAAATAGGGTGACAATCATTGTAACTTTAATCATGTTTTGTAGCCGTCATTCTTAATAGAATATTTCTCCTTTTCATCATTTATTCTACCTTTGCACCAACAATTGGTATCTAGAGCTCCGGTTCAGATTCATTGGGAAACACGGGAAACACGAGTGAACGTGAGGTCTTGTGTGTTTGATTTTGATTCTTAGATTCGTGTTGAATCTTGAACAAAATCTGATCAGAATTTTATTCTGTGGGTTGGGAAACACTGTGTGAGAAATCTGAGTGTATTGTGCAAGGTGAAGATGAACGGAAACGGCAACATGAACACCAAGCTTCCAGTATTTGACGGTAAAAACTGGAATCGTTGGATGATCCAAATGCGTGTACTGTTTGGTGCTCAAGATGTTTTAGATCTTGTCACTGATGGTTATGTTCCGGTAGCAGCAGATGCAACAGATGAACAGAAAAACGCGCAGAAGGAAGTAAGGAAAAGGATCAGAAAGCATTATTCTTTATTCATCAATGTGTTGATGTAAATGTGTTTGAGAAGATTGCAGATTCAACGACAGCAAAGGCTGCGTGGGACACACTGGTTAGATGTTATGGTGGTGACGCATCAGTGAAGAAGGCGAAGCTTCAGTCCTTGAGAAAGCAATATGAGAATCTCAACATGAAGAATAATGAGAAAATTTCTGAATACATCTCCAGAGTGATTCTGATCACTAATGAGATGAAGGCGTGTGGAGAAACTCTTTCTGAAGAAACAATCATGGAGAAGGTATTGAGATCCCTTACCTCTCAATTTGATTACATTGTGGTAGCAATAGAACATTCCAAAGATCCGAGTACCATGAGAATTGAAGAGCTGCAGAGCAGTTTAGAAGCGCAAGAGTTGCGTTTGACTGAGAGAACTTCTGAAAGGGAAGTAGAGCAGCAGGCTCTGAAAGCAACTTCTGATAGGAGGTATCAGAAGCAGTCAGAAGCCAAGAGAAGATCTGATTGTGGTCAGAAGTCAGAAAGCTCAACCTCTGATAGACAAAAGAATGCTCAGAAGGAAAAAGAGAAGTATGACAAGAAGAAGATTCAATGTTACTGTTGTAAGAAGTTTGGTCACTTTGCTAGAGATTGTTGGTCAAACAAGGAGAAGAAATCAGAAGAAGCAAATATAGCCAGAAGTTCTGATGACGAATCTGTGCTATTGATGGCCTCTGAATCTGATGATCTGACAGACTGGTGGTATATGGACACTGGCTGTTCAAATCATCTTACTGGAAACAAGAAATGGCTGGTTGACTTTGACTCTGAAAAGAGGACAAATATCAGATGTGCTGATGACAAATATCTTAATGCAGAAGGTATGGGAAATGTCAGAGTGACTCTGAACAATGGGAAAACAGCATTGATTCAGAACGTGTGGTATGTACCTGGCATCAGAAGCAATCTGATGAGTGTGGGACAATTAATTGAGAAAGGTTTTTCAGTTACCATGAAGGACAATCTTCTGAAGCTGTATGACTACAATCAGAAGTTGATTATGGAGTCAGAACAGGGAAGGAATAGAACATTCAAGGTGAATGTCAGAACTGCAGACTCAGAATGTCTTAGTGCAACATGTGCTGAGAAGGAGAGTGAGCTGTGGCACAGAAGATTTGGTCATTTGAATTTCAGAAGCCTAAAACATCTGAATTCAAAGAAGCTGGTACATGGAATTCCTGCAATTAAGAAGCCTGAGAAGTCATGCAAAGTTTGCATGGAAGGAAAACAACCACGTTTGCCATTTGCGTCAGAAGTTGCTCCAAGAGCAAAACATGCCTTGGGAGTTGTACATTCTGATGTGTGTGGTCCATTTCCAGTAGCATCAATTGGAGGGAATAAGTATTTTGTGTTGTTTGTTGATGAATTCACAAGAATGACATGGGTATCCCTTATTAAATTTAAACATGAGGTGTTTGATGAATTCAAGAAGTTTAGAATGAAGGCTGAGAATCAGAGTGGTCAGAAGTTGAAGATTCTTAGAACTGATGATGGAGGTGAATATAACTCCAAAGAGTTCCAGAAGTTCTGTGAGGAGAATGGAATTGAGCATGAGGTTACTGCTCCTTATACTCCTCAACACAATGGTCTTGCTGAAAGAAGAAATCGTACTTTGCTTGATATGGTGAGAAGCATGCTAAAGGAGAAGAAGCTTCCTCAAAAGCTCTAGGGAGAAGTTGTTGCCGCTGCAACGTATGTACTCAACAGATGTCCTACGAAGAAGTTGAAGGAAATAGTTCCTATGCAGAAGTGGACTGGAGACAAGCAAAATGTTAGTCATCTGAAGGTGTTTGGTTCTGTTTGCTATAAACATGTTCCAGAAGCCAGAAGACAGAAGCTGGATGATAGAAGCAAAGTGATGATTCTGATAGGGTACCACAGTATAGGTGCATACAAGCTCTATTGTCCAGAAACCAATAAAATTGAATTCAGCAGAGATGTGATTGTGAAGGAATCAGAAGTTTGGAATTGGGATAAGTCTCAATCTGATTCTGATGTTAGAACTTCTGAAGAAAGGTCAGAGTTAAGAATTTCTGAAGTTGAAGTAAACTCTGATGTTGATTCTGACTCTGATAGTGATTCTGACTCTGGAGAAGACTCAGAAGATGAAGGTGACTCTGATGATCCAGACTCTGATGGTAATCCAGATTCTGGTGGAAATTCAGACTCTGAAGATGGCCAAGACTCTGGAAATATGCCAGATCCTGAAGTTGGTCAAAGCTTTGAAGAAAGTCAATCATCTGAAGCCCAAGACTCTAAACAAGTTCAGAGA